TTTTACAAATTTATCACCATGATGCTGGGATTCTGGTCTGCAAGTAGGTTTCTTATTTTGAACATTTGGGGCTTTAAATTAGAGAATATAAAATCACTTGACTTATAAGACCTAACTCAAAAGGAAATTGCAATTAAACCATAATGAAACTTTGGCAAATGCATTACAAAGAAAAGAAAGAGAAAGGAAGAAACAAAGTGAAACTCCGTATTGTGGACACCCTGTTCATACTGAGGTACTGCGGTATTTAAAGACTCTCCTCTGATAAGAGACCCCCACTGGAGTTGTGGCCTAATTACTGTACTTTATGAACCCTAACCACATTTGTGTAACCTCAAAAAGGGAAATTCACTGACAACTCTCATAGCAAGGGTCAGACAAAGGAATAATGGTAAATTTAATTTCTACTGTCCTCCCTTACCTCACCAGGGGGCTCCCTTGTGGGCTACCCTTTCACTACACAACAAAGATTTTCATGATTCAGTGATGCTTTGGCCAACATCTGCTATTTATTAAAAATTGTGTTCCGTTAGGCAGCTGTCAGCCAAACTGGAATTGGACTGTTTAGTCTGTTTGTTCCCTCACTTGGCCTTTCAAGCTTTGCATCTTCAAAGGATTTATTTGAAGCATTTACACGCCAATTTTTCTCTTGCTCAAACAATGCGCTACAGTGATACTGGCAAGAAGGTTATTTCTTCCAACCTGTGCTCCCCATTTCTTGCCCTCTCTCAATAACTTGCTCACAAGAGATCCAGATGTGTAATAAGATAACATTTAAGTCAGTGACCGGAGTGCTTGTTGTAGAGGTAATGCTGTATGGCACTAACTCTTCTCGCCACGTACATGATCCCAACGGAGAAAAACTGACTTTATGCCTCTTTGTGCTTCTTCTTTCTCGTTCGAGTTCTGATCTGACTAGCAGAAGACTTTTTTTCTTTTTAAAAAAAAAGGTTTTGTATTAGTCAGTCACAGCCCAATTAGAGACTTTCCCCCCCGAAGGCATAAACTTTGAACATAGCAGTTTCTTCTATTCATGCTTTTTTCTTTAAAAAAGAGTTAGAGCCTTTTGTGTTAGTTGGGACAACTAAAAAGTTGCTCATGATAAAAAAAATTAAGAATAATTGCAAGGAAAGGGGACAGAAAATGGTACTATGGTAATAGAATCTGCATGCATAAACTTTAGTAGTTTAAATTGCAAATTAAATTAGTTGTATTCATTCAAAATTATCATTTTTGCAGTAGAATTAAGGAAATGAAACTTGGAAAAATAAAAATGTTTATTTAAAGCCATAATATCTTCTACTTAGAATCTGTACATGGATGTGAAGGGTTTTTAAAAGATAGAAATTGCAAAGTACTTAGAAATATTTCTTGGGCATTTTCTTTGCAAATTTCTACTTATTTTAGATGCATGGATTTAAAACTTGCCTTTAGTAACAATTAACAAGAAGTTCATGAGAAAGAAAATAATGCATAGAAATTTTAGAAATTGTTAAATTTACTAAATTTTTCTGAAGTCTTCTAATGTTTCTATTGGTAGATATAATTACCCTCTGACTTTCAGTGTAAAAAATGAATTGACATATAAATGAAAAAATGAGTTTTCTTTTTTGATATATATGTTTGGTTTTGTTTTCTCTTCTATTGAATAAATAGGCACAGATATATACTTTATATACATTTTAAGTGTGTATTATAGAATATTTTCAAAGTTTTTTATTTTCACAATTTCAAAACCATGCGTATGATGCATTTCTGAACTTTCAAGGAAACAGTTGAAAAAAGAGATCTTGTTAGAAAATGAATAAAAACATGTAGAGCACCAAAAATTTGTTAGTTCAACAAATTTAATTCAATTTAATAAAGATCCATTGAGGACTTAGTATATATCTGGACTTATGTCTTAATAAAGGAAAAATTATATTGCACTTAATGGGATGTCAAAAAAAAATAGAATTCAAGTAGGAGCAGTTGGGCAAATGCTTTGCATAATATGCATTATTGGAAGCGAACTGGATAGATGCTACATCTGACTTAAGTGCAGGGCCTATCAACTGTGGCACACAGGTTAAGTGATTAAATAACACTTTGAGAAAATAATTCTTCCCTATCTTCTCTTGCATATCACATTCCCTCCTCACAACACTCAAGATCATTTCTCCAACATAACAGATTAAAAAATGATGAAAGTCAATAATTTCACAAATAAGATTTTTTAATCATTGAAAAATACAAAATACAAAGGAAATTACAAGAAAACTATTTAAGGTACTTTGGGGATTATTTTATTTTTATTGTTTAGTATGGACACTGTGAATTTCTCCAACTTTCCCCAAGAGTTGGAAAGAAAACCCTTTTCGGTCGGTTTCCATAATTTACACATTTGTATATTTGGTGGGACCCTTTGTCCCCAATTTTAGTTTATTTCTGAGTAAACAATAAGAAAAGAGCAGTAAAGTGTTTTTTTTTTCTCTTCTTACTATGAATTTGAACCCAGAATCTTGGAATATTTTGTTCTTAAAGTTAGTGTTTAACAGATGTTTGAAAGCATTTATGTTAGCATTTTATCTTAAGAATATCTTCCATTAATCTTATATATAACACTTTTATATTGTCAAAGTGCTTTCACTTTATTATTCATTTCACTCCAAATAATATTATATTTCTTCAGCTACAAACATTGCCTTAGAGTGATCCTTGAGAAAAAACTGATCAACAACTTTCACTTGTAATCAGTTAACACTAACTATAGTTATCACCAGTGCTGAGGATGTAAATCCTGCTCCATATGTAAATGCCATTGTTTTGTGATCAAAATCACTGTGTGGTCATTTAGTTCCAATAACTGAAATTACTCTAACAAAGTAGCATTCTTTATTGATTTATGAAGTAGAAATATGTCAATGGGATAAAGAACTTGAGTATTTTAAAATAATGTTTCTTTTTATTTTTGTGTAAGACAAGAATGATGGCTAAAATAAATAAAAAGGCATTATCAGTATGAAAAACTACATAAAATGAAAAACCTTCAATCAACTTTTTTGTGTATTTTACTTTCTTTCTCAGCAGTTAGTGTTTGGCATGATGTTGTTTAATAATACTCATTTTATGAAAACATCATTAAAATATTTGATTGTAATTTGTATATCCATTTTGAATTTTAATGTATATCACAATGGAATTCTGATTTGATCTTCAAATGCATCTTTACAATCTAAAAGTTTTAAAAAGTAGTAAGTAGGGGTTGGACCCATGGCTTAGCGGTTAAGTGTACACGCTCTGCTGCTCGCTGCCCGGGGTTCGGATCCCGGGTGCACAACGACGCACCGCTTGTCACGCCATGCTGTGGCGGCGTCCCACATAAAGTGGAGGAAGATGGGCACAGATGTTAGCCCAGGGCCAGTCTTCCTCA